GACGAGTGGGCAGCGGGGTGGGAAATCATCCAGAGGTGAATTCGTAACTCTGTCCCCGAGTCCCCAACTGAGAAAAGTCAGAAAAAAAGGGACATTAAAAAAGCAGGCTGCCAGGACAAGGTAAAATGCTCTGCAACGGCTGTGGTCCCGGCAGGGAGAGGAGAGCAGCCGGGGTTAGGTGAGGATAAGGCATTGTGAAACCCCAGGGGTGCAGGGACGGGGACAGCCCAGGGACCAGAGGCAAGGAGAAGGTGGTGGAGGGCTGGTGTGGGAGCAGGGCAAGGGGAGGCATCCCCTCAAGCGAGTTAAATGGGTTACGCACATCAGGAATCCGCATGAATCTGCACGGAGTGGACCATGAAACATGGAGGATGAGCAGAGGATGGGGACAATACCCCCAAATGCTAAGGGAGGCTACGAGGCCATGACAGCAAGAAACCCCTGCCTGGGGAGACGCAAAGCAGCGAAGTGTCACAGCAAAGCCATCCAAAATGTCTGCATCTGGAGCCCCCAGTTAGAGAATCACAAGAAGAGGCATCCCCTGAGCCGTGAACTGGTATAGTCTGGGTGAAAAACCCCTGCAGGCTTACCTATCCTTGCCAGAAGGAGTGACGTAAAATAAAGAAATGGGTTGGAAGAAGTGAAAATCAAATACAGAGGAAAATACTTGCAAACAATAGGGCGGTACCATCTAGCCAGTGAGGATGCGTGGCTCCTAGCAAAAGGGATCCTAACACAATACCACGGTGAACCTGCAGGAAGATGGTTTAACAGCAAAGCAAGCTAGCCAAAGTACAAGTATTTTACTATTAGTAAAACTAAAAACAATAAAATGAAATATAACAAAAAATTCTTCCAAAACTGGCATTTTCTGTTTTCAAACCAGGAAAACAGCAAGATGCGAAAACCCCATCAGGTTAAAAACCACGTTCACACAGATGAAAATATATTTTGAGCATAATTTGCTTACCACGTAAAAATTAACAAGCCCATCAGAAGCTGGAAGTCTGCTGGAAACCCACTGCGGCTGGTGGGGGGACTGGGCTGGCGCGGGCTCGGGGCAGAGCCCGGACCCACAGCGGAACAGAGGCAGCAGGTCCCCGACCTCCCCGGCACCGGAGAGGGAGGTGGCAAACACCAGGCTAAATTTTAGGAAGGGTTCCACAGGGATCCAGGAAACTCTGGGATCTTAATCCTGGCTTTGGTACCAGGCAAATTTGCTGAAAGATGGAAGAAAAAAACGGCATTAGAAAACGCGTGAATAAGCACGCAATGCTGAGGCAATGTCCGGTGTGGGTTTGAGGAGGGAAGACTTGGCGAGAATTACATGTAATTAATGTAAATAATGATGAAGCAGTTGATATATAAACAATGATTTTTGCAAATCTTTGACAAAAATCTCTCTACAAAAGCTCTTCAGGACATGGCTTAGTGGTGGGTTTGGCAGTGTTAGGTTGATGGTTGGACTCAAAGGTCTTAAAGATCCCTTCCAACCTACATGATTCTATGATTCTATGAAGGTGGATAAATGGTGAGGTTTTGCTTGTAAACTGCTTAAAAGTTAGGGGACAAGGGTAGGAATAAACGGGCAGGATCTGTGCCAGACCTGCGCTAGTCAATACAGGCCTAAAAGAGAGCAGATCTCGCTGACGCTACATAGTGCCTCAACGGTCAAATCTCAAGCTGACTGTGAAAAGCTGGGAAGGGATTGATTGCACGATGTCAAGCCGCTGAGCGGACAGACATCAAATACAATTCAATATAATTAAATTCAAGGCAATGTAAACGTAACCCTGTGTGTACGTGGCGCTGGGCTCTAAAGGGAGCTCTATCCTTCAGGAAAGAGCTGCTGAGTCCCTGCGGGTGCTTTGCCTGCCCGCGCTGCGTGAGTAACCACAGGACAAAGGCGTTAGGAAGGCATCGCTCGCTGGGGTGTGCGAGCAGGGCCAGGGCAGCTCGCAGAGGGCAGGGCAGGGAGGCAGAGAAGCAGCTGAGCAGGGAGATGGAGCGGCTCCCACGGGGAAGAGACATGGTGCACGCTGCAGCCTGGCAGGGCCACAGGGAAGGGACCTGGTGAGGGGTCCCTTCCCTGAGAGGAGGAAAAAAGGCAGGAATGTTTTCATTTCCTAGAGCAGAGCTTCGAGGAACACCACAGGGCTGGACCTGGTTTAAAACTACGGGAAGCGCTTTCCCAGCCATGCATCACCGTGTTGTGGCAGACCGCTGCTGCTGCGGAGATCACGCGTGCAAACAGATTCCAAAGGGAACAGGAGAGTGTGCAGAGGGTTGGTTTGCTGGGGCCGGGGCAAGTCCAGGATGCTCCCAGACCTCTCCTGGGTGAAGAGCACAAGGACAAGATCCCTGTTTCTTCCTCCGACTGAACCTTTGAATGGCCCTGGGTCTCCCAATCCAGTCCTACCCCGCTGCGGCTGTGCTGGGCACACCAGCCTGGTGGCCCATCCCCAGCGTCCAGAGCCTGGTACCTGCCCCAGTGCCAGCCCCAGGCGCTCCCCAGCTCCTCACACAATCCCCTACAGCATAACTGCAGGCAGCCAGCTCGCCCGGCCGATGCAAATTATCCATTATGAAGGGGAGAAAATTGCTATCTATTTCCCCTTTCATCCAATTATCATAGCTTTCTTTTTCCTTATTGCTAATTATTACTTTCAATATGCCACTGAAATATAGGGGGGGTGTTCTCCTTTCTGGTGCTAGCTTGGTGGCTCTTGGAAACAAATCTTAAAGAATTGTCTTTTTCCACAATTTTCTGTCTGTGTTTTCCCATCGCTGTTTTTTCTCAGAGTTTTTCTTGTCTTTATGAGGTCTGACTTTTCAAAGCGCCATGCATTTTTGTTTACTGAATGGATTATTCTCTACCCAAATTGAACGTAATCAGTTCACGATCATTGTTCCCTAGGCAACCACCAGCGAAATTATACACCTATGATCATGAATTAAACTGTTTTAAAAAGTTTTTTTTAAAAAAAAAAAAACAAACGGCAACTCCAGGGCTTAATAAAACATTGCTGAAACAAGGCACTCACAGCAGTGCCATCAGTCATTGGGGAGGGCTTTAGCACAATGATCCTTGGTCTCGATTCAAGGACTATGGGAAGACAAAATACCACACACCAGCCCGCAAAGGTAAATTCAAAGCAATTTGATGAAGAAGGACTGCTGCTTTTCTGTCAAAATCCTGAGGGGATGCTCTGGTTAACAAAGGAATTACTGTCTGCAGCTCTACGGGTCGCAGGAATAATGGGAAAAGAAAGGTTGCGCAGTGGGGGTGAGAGTGAAGGTAAGCCTATTCAGCGCACCCCTGCTGCGCCTACGGTGCCGGTGGACAATGAAAAAGAGTCACCGTAGAGTGCAGTGTCCTGATGAATGCGGTGGGTGTTGTCCCAAAACCGGGGGTGTTTTCCCAGCATGCAGGATGCCAATATACACACACAGAGCAGAGGTATTTATTATGGCATGTTTGTGCAGATATGGGTGCTGGGTGGTATTCCACAAAGCCAGCACACTGTCTGCCAAACTCTCCATATGTTTGTATGCTTCAAAATACAAAAGTACATGCCTTTACTGACAACCATTGGTTAGTACTTTACCCTAACAACTCCTATTGGTTAGTATAATCTCTTGCCTTCATTTAAAGCTCCAGTGCCTTTTAATTGATGTGCGCACGCTCCAATACAGCGTGTTTGTCGGGGTTAGTCTCCACGGTCTCTAATTGCACCAGTGGTTGTGATCTCCCCTTGCCACCGTTACCTTTCCCCCAGTTACAACTGACTTCCCTCAGTTAACACAGAACTTTTGCTGACTTTATGCTTCTTCAGCAATTATCCATGTTTCCATGTTCCCTTTTTATCCATCTATAGTTCCTCGTCAAGGGCATAGTCATTAGCAAGGCAAGCATGGCAGCGCTTATGCAAAATATCCCATTTCAAAAAACCTGTGTAACTTTTATGGCTCTTTTGGTTTTGCTCCGTGGAAGATTTCAATGGATTATTCTCTGCCCAAATTGAACATAATCAGGTCACGATCATTGTTCCCTAGGCAACCACCAGCAAAATTATACACCTATGATCATGAATTAACACTGTTTTTAAAAGTTGTTTTTTTTTTAAAAAAAAAAAAAAATGGTAACTGCAAGGCTTAATAAAACATTGCTGAAACAAGGCACTTGCAGCAGTGCCATCTGTCACTGGGGAGGGCTTTAGAGCACAATGATCCTTGGTCTCGATTCAAGGACTATGGGAAGACAAAATACCACACACCAGCCTGTAAAGGTAAATTCAAAGCAATTTGATGAAGAAGGACTGCTGCTTTTCTGTCAAAATTCTGAGGGGATGCTTTCGTTAACAAAGGAATTGCCGTCTGCAGCTCTACGGGTCACAGGAGTAATGGGAACTGAGAAGAAGGTTGCACAGTGGGGGTAAGAGTGAAGGCAAGCCTATTCAGTGCACCCCTGCTGCCGCCTACGGTGCTGGAGGTCAATGATTCCAGAGTGCAGTGTCCTGATGAATACGGTGAGGAGGAACGTCAGAACCCAGCCAACCTTCCCTGTGGCTCTTGAGAGTGTCCACATTTTGAAGAAATACCCCAGCAACAGGCTGCAGAAACCAATCTGAACACGAGCCGTGCCTCCCAGTGTCACTGGGCAGTTTGGCTTTGCTGGGACTTTTCTGTGTGCTGAGTGAACATCAGGAACATGTTCTGGTGTTCAGAGGGATTGGGAAGGAGCGACCAGGATGAGGGCTGTGCAGAACACTTCATCTGGAGAAGCATCTTCCAAGCCACAGAGCTCTGTGGTGGGCTCAGTCACGGGGTTGATACACTGCGTGTTATTTCATTCTACCTTCCACTGCTGCTCTCACCAGCCGTACACCAAGCTCATTCCTTCTCCCCGCTAACCTTTCGTGAGAACAACTCGGCTCTTCATCATCTGCCGCCAGCTGTCCCCTCGGCTCCTGCGCGCACCGTGTGGCCGTGGTGTTCCGATGGCAGGACAGGCTCTAAAAAGCAATGTCGTGACGGGCAAGATGTCCTGCGGCACACGAAACTTCGGGTCCCCGCTGCGCATGCCTCCCCGGCCCCCGGCCCCGGGCCAACCTCCGCCTCCTCCCGCCAGATGGACAAGGCCCAAACCCGCCGACGCCTCTTGTACCGTACGGCATCGGTGCGCGCATACACTGAATATAGAGTTACTCCTCCCGGCCCTATGTGACTGATTAACTCCAGCACTCATTAGCTTGGCAGAACCGTTTTTAAGCAGCTTTGTTGATGTCGGAAGTGACGGCCGCGCAGCCGGAGCCCAGCGGGAAGCAGGCCTGAGGGAGGAGACCCCGTGGCGGCCCCTTCCCCCGGCCCCGGCTCCCGA